TATATATAATATATATATTATATATATAATATATGCATTATTTTCACATCTTCTTTATCCGTTCATCTATGGATGGGCACTTGGGTTGCTTCATTATCTTGGCTACTGTAAATAATATTGTAAATAATGCTGCAATAAACATAGGGGTGTATATATCTTTCTCAGTCAGTGTTTTCATATTGCTTGGGTAAATCCAGTAGTGGAATTACTGAAATTATATGGTAATTCTATTTTTTAATTTTTTGAGGAACCTCCATACTGTTTTCCACAGTGGTTGCACCAATTTACATTCCTACCAACAATGCATGAGGGTTCCTTTCTCTCCACATCCTCACCAACACTTGTTATTTCTTGTCTTTTTGATACTAGACATTTGGCAGGTGATATCTGATTATGGTTTTGATTTGTATTTCCCTGAAACTAAGTGATGTTGAGCATCTTTTCACGTGTCTGTTGGCCATCTGTATGTATTCTTTGGAAACTGGAAAAATGTATATTCATATCTTTTACCCATTTTTAAATCAGATGGTTTGGGAATTTTTGGTGTTAGGTTGTATGATTTATGTATTTTAGATATTAACTTATCAGATTAATATCTTCTTCCATTCAATAGGTTCCCTTTTTGTTTTGTTGATGGTTTCCTTTACCATACTTATTAGTTTGTTTTTATAACAGCTTTATTGAAATACATTTCACATACCATACAATTCACCTTTTTAATGTTTTTTCAATGGTTTTAGTATATTCACAGAGTTGTGTAACCATCATCACTATCTAATTTCAGGGTATTTTCACCACTCCAAAAAGAAACCCCATGGTAATCACTCCCCATTCCCTCCCATGTCCCCACATCCCAGCCCTAGGCAACCACTAATCTACTTTTGGTCTTTATAGATTTGTCTGTTCTGAACATTTTATATAAATGGAGTCATATAATATGTGGTATTTTGTGTCTGGCTTCTTTTACTTAGCATAATATTTTCAAAGTTCATCCTTGTTGTAGCATGTGTCAATGCTTCATTTCTTTTTTTTAAGATTTTATTTATTTATTTGAGAGAGACAGCACTAGCGAGAGAGCATAAGCAAGAGGACTGGATCCCAAGACACTGGGATCATGACCTGAACCGAAGGCAGATGCTTAACCACCCAGGTGCCCCAGGGCTTCATTTCTTTTTTCACTGAATAATATCTCATTGTATATTTATACCACATTTTATTTTTTTATTTATCGGTTGATGGTCATTTGGGTTGTTTCCACCTTTGGGCAACTATGAATAATGGTACTGTGGATATTTGTGTATATGTTTTTACGTGAACATATGTTCTCATTTCTCCTTATTATATACCTAAGAGTAGAATTGCTGGGTCATTTGGTTTAACTTTTTGAGTCATTAGTTTTTTATTTATCTTATTGTGTGCTTAATTTGACAAAAGTAAGAAACTGTGTTTAATATTCTTATATATCCTTATTTCCCTCTTTTGTTCTTATAAAAAGGGTAGCATACTCATATACCTTGTTTTTAACTTTGGGTTTTTTGTTTTTATTTTTGCTGTTGTTCTCTGTTATACACCCTGAAATTCGTAATGCATTCTAGAAATCACTACAAAAAAAGTTTGTAGGTATTTTCCTAATTCTTTTTTGACTGTATAATACTATTGTTTGAATATACCATTATTTACTCAACTAGTCCCCTATTGTTGGATACTTTGTATTTCTAACCTTTTGGTATTAAAAAATTGTGCTTCAGTGTTTAACCTTGTGCATATGTTGTTTGGTACTTGTGGAGGTGTGTCTTCAGGGTATATGTCTAAAAGTAGAATTTCTAGGCACAGGGTAAGTGAATATGCAGACTTGTTAGATCTTGTCAAATTCTCCTCCTCTAGTTTTGTATTGCATTAATGCCAGCAATGTAGCAGAGTATCTATTTGCCCCAAAGTCTCATCAACAGAGAATGTGGTCATGCATTAGGTTTCACCAATAAATGGTATCTCAGTGCAGATTTTAATTTGCATTTTTCTTCTTTGAGGAAATGAGCAGTTTTTCATATATTTAAGAGTATTTGTTTATCTATTTCTGTGTCTTGTGTGTTTGTGTCTTTTGCTCCTTTTGTTCTAGGCTTTTTGAGGACCAAGATTCTTTTTTTTTTTTAAGATTTTATTTATTTGACAAAGAGAGAGACAGCAAAAGAGAGAGAGTAGGGGGAGTGGGAGAGGGAGAAGCAGGCTTCACCCGAGCATGGAGCCCGATGGGGGGCTCGATCCCAGGAGCCTGGGATCATGACCTGAGCCAAAGGCAGCCACTTAACTGACTGAGCCACCCAGGCGCCCCAAGGACCAAGATTCTTGAAGTAAGGCAGTAGCCAACCTTTGGGTAGATGGAAGCAGGTGCTTCTCACTAACTGCTAGCAGGATAATCCTTAGCTTAGTACTTGGCTCCTGTCACATACCAGGAATCTCAGAAAATCAGAGCAGGAATAACTATTTTAGATTAGATAGTTCAGTCCCCTCATATTATAGATGAATAAATGGAGGCCCAGAGAGTGAGAGGGACTTTCTTCAGTTCACACAGAAAATCAGTGGTAACGTGGAACTTGAACCCAATTTCTCTTTCCCCCAGGGCAACTTCAAATTAATATGCAAATGATTTATGTGCTGATTATTATACTTTCATTGAAATTATCACAAACAACTTTTTGGGAAGAAACTGCCTCGTGATGTCCTCTATTAGCCCAAATTACAAATATTGGCAATAAATATAAAAGGCATCCTCTCGTTAATTCTGCCTCTTTATCTATATTAGTGTCTATAATGCTCATTTGTTATAGAAGTATAAGAAAAACATAGAATGTCAGCTGCACTGAATCTTGGTGATGTCTCATTATGTCACAGGGAAACCTGAGATCCAGAGATGCAGAATTTATCACAGGGGGAGACCAAGAGGGCCATTTAGCCTGGAGCCTCACCTTCACTAAGGGATTCAAGTTTAGGTATTTGAGATCTTCTCCAAATGAGGTTAAAAATGTATGACTACTGCATTTTTCTGAGTGTGATGATAGCTTTATTTTGAAAAACAGACACATATAAAATGCATTGCAATTTCTCTAAGCTTGTTGTCTCATTTCTGTACTTTTTAATATACCAGAAGAAGCCTCAAGAGTGACCTGCCCATGATTGTCAATAAAGCTAGTAGCAGAACTGACACCAGAACCCAGATTTGCTGACCTGTAGTCAGAGTGCTTTCTGCTGCACCATAATGCTTCATAAGAGCCAGTTTCTGGCCTTTTACAAGTCAAGTAAATTCATCTTCATCCACAACATTGAACCCTCTGGCCAGAAAGCACCACCCATGCCACTTAAATGCACCATCTTGGAGCTCATCACAAAGCCTACTCTCTATAATACTGTCTTTCCTGCCTGCCATACCCAATCAAAAAGTTGGCCACAATCTTCATAATAACTCCCATTTCTTGAGAATCTCCTATGTGCTATGCACTTTACCTGTGTTCACTCAAATCCACAGAACAGTCCTGCGTGGTGGGCAATACTATTCTCATTTTACAGATGACTAAACAGGCTAAAAGATTATACAGCTAAGTAAATGGTACAGCTGGGATTTAAAACCAAGTTTATCTGACTGCAAAGCCTGCGTTTAGCCCATTTTACCCAGTATTACTCTTCAACTGAGATGCATGATGACTCTGGGAGGATATATACAAGGGCCAAGGCAAAATCACTTTCTTCATAGAGCACTCAGACTGTCCAGGATGAAACAGTTGGTGGCTGGGACGTAAGGAGATGACAAACAGTTTCTCTGCGATGCTACCCTGTGGGCCAGTCCTCTAATAGAAACTCTTCCTGAAAACCCAGAAGTTACTTACTTGACCAAGTGTCTTATAAGAAGTTCCAGCATCTCTCGGTTCTTTTCGGGTAGCTTATATACCAGGGAGTGAATAGCTCCCAGCCGGTAATCCAGGTTGTCAGACTCTGAGAGAGAACAAAGAGAAATAGTTTTGCCTTTTGGGCAACTGGATCAAGCAAACTCTCACACACACACACACACACACACACACACACACAATCAGAAACACAGAGAGATGAAAAGAGACAGAGAGATAAACAGGCAAAGGGAGATCAAGAAAAAAAGACACTGAGATGGAGAGAGAAAGACAAAGAGACCAAAAGAGAGATAAAAGACAAAAAGAGAGATAAAAACAAAGAAATAGGCCTAGAAAAATAGAAAAAAAAGAGAGAATAGAAAGATGAGAATATAAGACCATCTCTGAGGAAGTCAGAGTTCTAGGTATAGCAGGTTGTCCCTAAAGTTCCACATGTAACTTGCCCACCCATCTTTCTGTGGTGCTGGGAGGTATACTGCTACCTTTGGGTTTATGTGAAAATCACTGAGAGAGCTCAGAGTAAAGATCAAAGGTCTCTTGCCTCAACAAAAATTCATTATGAGGTCAAGTCTTCTCAGTCTTTTTCCTGCACACCACAGAGAGCACAGAGCAGGAGAAGGGTCATGTAGAGATAGGGAGGGATACTCATATACTGGCCTCAGCCAAAACTTTTAATACTTCTTCAGCTGCCACGTTCTGGGGTGATTCTATATGCCGTATTTCCCATGCAATGCTCCACTTTCACCCTCATTTTTATCATCTAGGAAATGTGATTCTAGCACTAACAGATTAGGAGTAATAATTCATAGCACAAATGAAAAGCATTTGAAAAGGCAAAGTTATGAAAAAAAATCTAAAACAGCAACTATTATGGAACCATTTTGGTGCCCCCTAGTTATGTGAACCAATGCTCTTATTCTGATTGAAGAGGCACATTCAGTCAATAAAGCCCTCACACCTGTCACATCCTCATGTTAGCCAGTTTTCTCCAACCTACTCAACTTACATTGATTTATGAAAAGTAATACAACACTCGAGTTAGACAGCAAGCAAGAATACTCTCATTTGGCAGTGGACAAATATCTAAGGGTATGTTTTGTTTTTTCCCCTCACTTTCTCTCATTTTTCTAGGTTTATTGCTATGAACATTATTAAAAAGCCAAGACAACACAATTAACTAGTAACATAAATACTTACTGGCAGCCGAGACCAGCTCTTTGTGAAGTCTATAGGTCATGACAGGTTCAGAAAGATTCCTGAAATTAATGAAGACTGTAAGTTCCTTTGGGGAGGGAATAGCTGGGTCTTAGAGTTTCAGTTCTGTGGACAGCAAGGCTTGTTTGTAATCCCTAGAGCTTAGTGTGTGACTACATACATTTCTCTCTTCACCTGAAACGTTGTCAGAGGAATGCTACTTACTAGTAATTCAATAGAATACCTGCAAAAGTATAAGCCAATTAGTCCTGCAGGGTCTCTAATTAGTTCCCAAAAGTGAAAGGAGTCACAAACCAGTACTGAAAAATTCCAAAGTGAACCCACTCTGAATGCTGCTATAAAGTCCTTGCAGTTTGATAGTTCCTTAGTTTTCAAAGTGCTTTCATATCTGTCCTCCCATCTGATCCTTCCAATGATCCTGTGAGATGGAGCACTTATTCAAATCCCAGTTTAATGGAGGAGAAAATCAAGGCCCAATAGATTTCTTTATTTGGTAAAAAAATATTGGCTGAGCACCTACAGGTACCTGACATTGTGCCAGATATTGAGGCTGCAGAGATGAGTAAGACAGACCCCAAACCGCCAAGGAACTAATAGTCTAGTTGAGAAGAGTGCCATATACAAAATTTACAATGTAAAAGGACCAGTGTGATGATAAAATAAAGACAGGTGGTGCATAGCTCAGAAAAAATAATTCACTTACAATAATAATAGTAAATGCTTCACTGTTCTAAGTGATTTGCATATATTTACTAATTTAATCCTCATGACAACACTGTAAGGTAGATATTGTTATTATATCCATTTTATAAATGGGGAAACTGAAGTTCAGAAAAGTTAAATAATTCATCCAAGACCATGCACAGCCAGTAAGTGGTAGAACTAGGCAGTCTGTCTTGAGTCTATGTTCTTAATCACTGTTATACTGCCTGCCACTATTATTATTGTAGTAGTCCAGTTGAGAGATAATAAAGGCCTAAACAAAAACAGTGGCATCAAGGATAGAAAGAAATGATGAGGAGAATTATTTAAAAGACATTAAAGACAGAACTTCTTCAATGACAGGTATACTGGTGAGGGAGAAAGTCATCTGGTTTATGAGACTGGATAGAATAGAAATGGATTCAGAAGGAAGTAGAGATGCGAAGCCAGAGGGACTTTTGGGATAGCCAAAGGGAGATGTGTATCAGGCAGATGGATGGAATGCCCTTCTAGAGCTGAGAAGTAAATATGAAAATCATAAACCTAGGTGAGTGGTTAAAACCATGAACACAGGTGAGTGGTTAAAACCACAAGAACAGATACCACGGCTCAAGGAGAGATGGCCAACTCACCCAACAGCTACACGGGGCCTTCCATTTATTATTTGTCCAGAATAGTGTATAAAAAAGACATGGAATTGTATTAGTTATCAGAATATAAAAATTTGAGATATTTCACAAAAGATCCATATTTTCTACCTCTACTGAAAAATGGAAAGATCTGGCTATATTGGGCCCATATGGTTATTTGTGGAAGTAAATATTATTGCTGATTATATATAAACAAAGGGATCACTATGCAAATACAGGTTCAATATGCAATGTTTTAATATGGAAGTAGTCTGCTTCATTCATTTTCATGTCCTGGCCCCTGTGGATATTTGAATTTTCCATCCTTCCATTATAGGAAAAAGAGAGGAGAATCCTGGAAAATATCAGGTAGAAAGTCCATAAAGGGGACTGCTAAAAATGGTCAAAAAAGGTATGAGGAAAGCCAAAAGCAAGTGATATGTTAGAATCCAAAAGAGGAGAAAGTGTCAAGGAGGGCTCATTAACAGCTTCAAATGCTACAAAGAAATCAAGTAAAGACTGACAAATGTACATTGTGTTTAGCACTGAGGGAGTCACTAGTGACCTTGGCAAGAGCAGCTGCAGTGGAGAAGTGTTGGGAGGGAGACTGCAATGGGTTAAGGAGCAAACTGGGAGATTAAGAAGTAGAGACACTGGCACACCTGGACGGCTTAGTGGGTTAAGTGTCTGCCTTTAGTTTAGGTCATGATCCCAGGATCCTGGGATCAAGTCAAGCATCGGACTCCTTGCACAGCAGGGAGCCTGCTTCTACCCCTGCCTGTTGCTCCCCCTGCTTGTCCACGCACTCTTTCTCTCTCTTTGACAAATAAATAAATTTTAAAAATCTAAGAAAAAAAAAAGAAGAAGTAGAGACACTGCGTGTAGATTACTTCATATACTGAAGCTTGGATAGGAAGGCATGAAGTATCTCTCTTATTAGGCAATCTCATCCAAGCTCCTTCCTCCCAATTACCATATATATTTTCAATGATTCACAAATTTTTAGCTCAAGCTCAGATTTCTTCTCTGAGTTCATTCCCATATATGCAATTGCTCACTTAATATCTTGCCCTGATTTCTTCAGACACCCAAATTTGACATATCTAAAGCCCAACTTGTCATCTCCCCTACATCTAGTTTTTGTCTTGTGTTTCTCTAATCAGTAAATATATGGCCACCATTTTGTTGTATGGGCCATAAACATGGAAGTCATTCTTTTATCTCCATCTCCCCCATTCTCATATCTAAATTTACTCCCTAAATTTCTTAAATACGCTTATTTCTACCAATCTACACTGTTACTCCCTAGTTCAAGCAGAAGCATCATCTCTTTCATGGACCACAGCAATAGCCTACTAATTGGTTTCTATCTCTACCTACCTATTGATTCCCTCTAATCTGATCTCTATATGTTTTTTTCAAAATGCAAATCTCATCATGTAACCTACTGCTTAAAATCTCTCAGTTTATTCCCATTGCTTTTAAAATAAATCCAGACCCCAATGGGGCGCCTGGGTGGCTCAGTCATTAAGCGTCTGCCTTCGGCTCAGGTCATGATCCCAGGGTCCTGGGATTGAGCCCCACATCGGGCTCCCTGCTCGGCGGGAGGCCTGCTTCTCCCTCTCCCACTCCCCCTGCTTGTGTTCCTGCTCTCGCTGTCTCTCTCTCTCTGTCAAATAAATAAATAAAATAAAATAAATCCAGACCCCAATTCTTAAAACATCCCATACGACCTTGCATGATCTGGCTCCTAATATCTCTCCTTCCCTCTCTATACTACAACACGCCACTTATACTGGTACATGTAGAAGGGATCATTCTCTCGTGCTTCAAGGCCTTTGCGTATATAGTTCTGTCTGTCTGGAGCTGCCTCCTCTCAGCTGCCTCTAAGTTACAATTCAAACCTCAGTTCAAAAAACAACCAGAATAAACCAAGTCTTCCTATATATGTCTTCATAACACCTTGCACCTTTTCTTCAGAGCACTTATTATGGTTTGTTATATTTGTATGATTATTTGTTTTTTTCTGCTCTCCTAACTGGACTATAACTTTTTTAAATTTAGAGACCACATCTATTCACAATTGTATGCCTACTGCCTAGTACCATGCTAGACATAGACTAGATACTCAGGAAATGTTTATTGAATAATTTAGTAAATGGTAGAATGAATTTATTCATTTATGAAAAAAGACACAAGGTCAAAGAGATGTGCTTTACAGGAGCATATTTATAGGCTGAGAGGAAAGAGACAGTTGAATAAGAAAGATTAAAGATATTAGAGAGAGAAAGGATAGTTTTTAGGGTACTTTTCTGGAAATGTTGGAATAAGAGGTGAGTTAGGTATGTATAACACAGATGAAGAGTCCTTCTCTGAAAATACTAAAGTATTTGAGAAACCTAAAGGGTGTTAACTGGCTAGTGCATATTAAATGCCCATACATTACGTCTTAAGGACAAATCTTTTATTGGAGGTATTGCTCATTCAGGTTTTCAGGCTTGATCTTCCCATCTTTCAAAAGGGCCACACTGCTTATTATGGGATGAGCTGGGAAAGATGTAATGTGGGGAGGTACTTAACCTATATAAATCTTTGAAAAAAATTGACTGCTTTGAAAAAGGCTAGAGATATAGAATCATTTACCCTCACTAATCACCACCAGTCTTCTAAAAGTATGCATAGTAGATTGCTCTCTGTCTTCACTAAAATTACCCAAGCAACTCCAAGAAGGTCATAGCCCCTGAGGGTGGGAAACGGGAAGAAGATGTTCCAATACCAATGGCCTATATGTCAGAGATACTTAGGTTCAAATAATATGAGCTGTGAGCATGGATATTACTTAACAGTAAAGGATGTGCCTTTCAATTTCCTCACCTGTAAAATTAGTATGATACCACTTACCTAACAGTATTATTGTAAAAAAACAAAACAAAACAATGATATTATCAATGTAAGCAACTAGAACACTGCTTAGTACAGAATAAACCCTCTAACAACAATACATTTCTTCTTTGGCAGATGCCAGAGAAATACTGCTGGAAAGAGCATTCGTGTTTATATAAAGTTCTAAGATGATACTACAGCAGAAGGTCACTTAACAGCAATATCTGGGACCCAATTTATTTTGGATTAATGATATTCAAACATCTATCCTAAATGCCTAAAGAGTACAATAACTGAAAAAAAGACATTTAGTAAATAATGTATGGTACATACTATTGGACATAAAGAATAATAAGAAATGAATGAGTTTAAAAAGTATATGTCCCCCCTCAAAAAAAGTATATGTCCCAAATATTTTTACATAATATAAATTTATGCCAATCAACTAAATGATATATTCATCACCACTGTGCATCACCAAATTTTGCTGATAAGGTAAATTTTGTTTTCCTATTGCTCTCAATTCACTCAGTTCTAACATTTGTATGACTGCATTTTCTTGTTCTTTTTATTTCTATTATATGGATGAAAGCATGAAATATGATGCATAACACACAAACACAAATATTATGTTTGTCAAATGTAATTTAATGTTTCAAAATAGTTATTATTCAACAAAACATGTTAACAACCTTGAATTGTCATAAATCCTGATATCATTCATGAGCACATTGAGACATCATTCTATCCTATGAACAATGGCAAAACTTCCATTACTTTAAGGAAAAGCCATTTTTCAATAATTCTATTATTTTGATGCCTTTCTTGCCTAAATTCCCAGGTTAAAAATTTTACAATACACATTCTTTTCTGATGGAAATCCTTTTCACTCTTTTTTTCTTTAGCAACTCCAACCTCCTGAAACTGTGACCACATAAGCTCCAATCTCCACCTAGACAAATTTCATCAACTATGAAAAACAAAGTCCCAAATTGTATCAGGCATACCTGAGGTAGAATTTCAAGGAGCTGGTGATTGTCTTAATGTCCCAGTCACTATTATGAAAATCAACATCTCCTGGGCATTTAGGATCTATTTGAGGGAAAAAGAAAAAAGAAAAAAAGTTAATGTTCTAAAAGTTCTTACTTTTTACCTCTTTAAAAGAAAAATAAAGTGGGTAGCCTAGGTGGCACAGTTGGTAAGCATCAGACTCTTGGTTTCTGCTTGAGTCATGATCTCAGGGTGGTGGGATAGAGAGCCAGGTTGGGCTCTGTGCTCAGTGCAGAGTCTGCTTGAGACTCTATCTCCCTCTCTCTCTCTGCCCCTCCCCCTACTTTCTCTCTCTCTCTAAAGTAAATAAAATCTTTAAAGAAGAAAAAGAAAAAGAAAATACATTACATTAAATGATAGTCACTCTACCCAGTTTTCAAGAGATGAAAACTTTGTACAACAACCATGTCTTTGATGTCTTAAAAATTCCCTTGCATTCCATTCAGGCATGTAAGAAGCTTGGAAGTCATGTCTTCCATCCACACAAGAAAAAAGTGTAACAAACTGAAAATCAACTCCTTTTAGATCCATCAGAGAATTGAGGTCATATAACAAACCACTGTCCTTAAAACTGAAGAGAGAGGCTGGCAGATCCAGAAAATCAAAACTTACTAGAACAGAAGCCCAGGAGCAGAAAACTTGGGAACCAGTACAGGGTTAGGAAAACCTAACCTGCAATTGATTTGATAGAGGCTCAGTGTGGACAAGTTTGAGAGTTAAAAATTTTAAGGGGGCTTGGTTCTAGGGGGACCTGCACACTTTTGTGAATTTTACCTCCAGGAGCCCTATCAGGTTCTCACAGTGAAGATCTGAGAAAAATTCACTCATGTTTCTGTGTTTCTTTTTAATAAAAGAGAGGATAAGAATCATACGATCCTCTCAATGGATGCAGAAAAAGCATTTGACAAAATATAGCATCCTTTCTTGATAAAAACTCTGCAGTGTAGGGACAGAAGGATCATACCTCAATATCATAAAAACCATATAGTAAAAACCCACAGTGAATCATTCTCAATGGAGAAAAAGTGAGAGCTTTTCCTCTAAAGTCAGGAACACAACAGGGATGTCCACTCTCACCACTGTTGTTCAACATAGTACTAGAAGTCCCAGCCTCAGCAATCAGACAACAAAAAGAAATAAAAGGCATCCATGGGTGCCTGGATGGCTCAGTTGGTTGAGTGACTGCCTTCGGCTCAGGTCATGATCCTGGAGTCCCAGGATCGAGTCCCTCATCAGGCTCCCTGTTCAGCGGGGAGTCTGCTTCTCCCTCTGATCCTCCCCCCCCATGTGCTCTCTCTCTCTCTCTCATTCTCTCTCTCAAATAAATAAGTAAAAATCTTTAAAAAAATAAAAAGAAATAAAAGGCATCCAAATCAGCAAAGAAGAAGTCAAACTCTCACTCTTCACCAGAAATGGCCACACTGGTGGTCCCAGCTATTTCAGCCCTGGATCCTGTTATATACATAGGGAAGAGGGATATGACCTTATAAAAGGGTAGAGACTACTTTAGCAGCTTAAAGTAAATCCATCTGTGGCCAATTGGTTCTCCCTGGATTCAAATTACATCAAGATTATTAATAACACTTATAACCCTGAAGCAATAGTTCTGTCAGCAAATCTACCCAAAGTATACATTAGAATAGACTCATCTACAAATATGTCATCACAAAAAAGGAAAAAAGTTAAATGCTAAATAAGTAATCTGATAAATATTGGTCCTTTTATTTACCATAATATTATAGCCATTGAAATATTTACAAAGTATTTTTAACCATATGTGAAATGCATATGTCAAGGTAATGTTGGCCATGTAAATCTAAGTCTGTCTACACATCCTCCAGAAAACAACATGGAACCACCAGAAAAACAGGGCTACACAAAGCCATGCCCTCCACATAACAAAAACATAGAAAACACCCGAATTCCAAATCACTTGAAAGTAGGAATATAAACACTAAATCCCAGGGAGCTATCACTAATATTCCTTCTCCACAAACATTTGCAGGGAGCAAGCGAAATGCTGGGAAAAGTTCATTCATAAGAAAATAAGGGGTCTGGAGGGCTAAGATTAATCTAAAACCAGCACCAGAAAGACAAAGTCTAAACAAACTATAAAAATACTGAAAAATAGAGTAAATCAGAGCACTTGTGGAAGAGTGTTCTAAGTGATCTTCAAAAAGAAGTCATGGAAGGTATTGCTCCTAGGAAAGGAAAGGGCAAAACATAATGGAAAGACATCAGCCAAAGGGAAGTGAAGCAAAAGAGGAAAATTTAGGAATGGGCAAAGATCTACCAGGCAAATGCAATCAATATCAGGCAAAGTAGATTTCAAGCCCAAAAGCACTAAATGAGACAAAGAACACTTTTAATGCTAAAAACGTTACTCAAAATGAAAGCAAAACAGCTATGAATATCTGCGTATCAAATAACATGGCAACCAACTTTATAAAACAAAAATACAGAATATAAAAGGAGTTATCAATAGGGACTTCCAGGGGAGATGGAGGAGAAGGAGGACTCTAAACTCACCTCTCCCAAGGATACAACTAGATAACACTTGCACAGTGCAAACAACCCAGAAAAGGACCCAACAACTGACAGAATAAGTCCACAACTAAATGTAGAGAAGAGGCCACATTGAAGAGGGTAGGAAGGGCAAGGATTCAGTGGGAACCTAAACCCTGTGGGTCTGAAAGCTGGAAGGAGGGAGCTGCAGGCTCAGAGAGGAGGAAGGAACAGACTAGCACACTGGGGAGCCTACAAAGGGAAAAAAATCCTCATAGAATTTGGCTTTGAAAATCAGAGGGGTGGAATTTTGCGAGTGCTTATGACCAGCAGAACTTAAAGCCTGGAACTATAAAAATTAGCAGGCTTGGCTCTAAGAAGGCAATAGGAAGCTGAGCCCCTATCCTTAGAGACAGCACAGTGAACAGCTCATGGAGATACAGCTTGGAAGCAGCAGTTTGAAAGGTACCTGGGGCTTACAAGAGGGAAAATTAGTTACTAATCTCAGAGTTCACTTGAGGGACTTCTCCAGGAACGAAGGAGCTGGCAGGTGACATTTCCCTTCCTGGTCCAAATTCATAAATGCACAGCCACCTGTGGGAACTAGTACAGCACCAGCACTCATTACCTAACTTACTTACACCACAGCACATGTCCCCAGCCAGACCTCTCTCAGTCCCAGTGCTACAGATCCCCTCCCCCAGAAGACACATGCAAACCTTGCCACCCCTGGATCTGTCAGCCTCTCAGAGAGGATGTACACAACTTGTTAAAACCGCACCTGCTGCCCACCATGCTGTATGGAGCAGCCAGCTCCAGTCTCTGTGGCAGATGTGCATCCCCAGTGGAGGAGGGCCAGTGTGAACAGTTTATGGCACTGCACCCCCATCAGTCCACTCAAGTTTTATGCAGTGGCCTTGGCCAGTTTCAGTCTCCACAGTGGCTGAGCATCCCCTGTGGTGGAAGACAAGTGCCACCTAGTTAAAAGTGCACACTCTGACCACTACTTTCAAGAGCAATAGGTATAGCTGACTTTCCTAAAACACAGACACAGACACAGAGAGGTAGGCAAAATGAAGAGACAGAAGAATGTATCACAAATGAAAGAACAGGGCAAAACCACTGCAAGAGACCAAAGCAAAAAGGATGTAAGTAACATGCCTGATAGAGAATTTGAAATAATGATCATAAAGATACTCACTCAACTTAAGAGTGGAGGACATCAGTGATATCCTTAATACAGATATAAAAAAAAAACAATTAGAGATGAAGAGGACAATAAATGAAATTAGGAACACAACTGATGGAATAAATAGCAGGCAGGAAGATGCAGAAGAATGAATTAATGACCTAGAAGACAGAGTAATGGAAAGTAAATAAAGATGAACAAATGAGAGAAAAAAGAATTATGCAAATTGAAAATACACTTAGGGAAATCGGTCACTCTATCAAGCATAATCATATTCACATTATAGGCATCCTAGAAGGAGAAGACAGAGAAAAGGGGGCAGGATATTTATTTCAAAAAATAATACCTGAAAACATCCCTAATCTGGGGAAGGAAAAGGATATCCAAATTCGGGAGGCATAAAGATCCACCAAGACACATAGTAATCAAAATGAAAAAAAGTAGTGATAAAATAAAAAAATTAAATCAGTAAGAGAAAAGAAAACAGTTACATAAAAAGGTAACTACATAAGGCCATGAACAAATTTTTCAACAGAAACTTTACAAGCCAGAAGAGAGTGGCATAATATATTCAAAGTGTTAAAAGGGAAAAATCGATAGCCAAGAATACCCTATCCAGCAAGGCTATCATTCAAAGTAGAAGGAGAGATAGAGTTTCTTAGACAAAAACTAAAGGAGTTTTTGACTACTAACACAGCCCTACAAGAAATATTAAAAGGGACTCTGAGTGGAAAGGAAAGATGAAAAGTGAGAGTATTAAAGAAGGAAACACAAAAGCAGTAAAAATAAGTAATTCTGTAAAAAAAAATAAGTAAAGGGAGTCACAAAATAAAAGGATGTAAAATATAACAACATATACCTAAAATGGGGGGGGAGTGATGAGTAAAGAAAGGTTTGAAATGCAAGCAACCATCAACTAAATATAGACTGCTATAGGCAGAAGATGTTATATACAAACCTAATGGTAACCACGAATCAAAACCATTAGTAGATATGCAAAGAATAAAGAGAAAGAAATCCAAGTTTATCACTAAAGAAAACCAAGAAACCATGAAAGACATAGTAGCAATACTTCTATCAGACAAAATAGACTTTAAAACAAAATCTATAAAGAGACAATGAAGGAAACTATATAATAATAAAGAGAAAAATCCAACAAAAAGATATAACCATTGTAAGTATTTATGCACCCAAAATAAGACCACCCACATATATAAAACAGTTAATGACAAACCTAAAGGAATTTATCAATAGTAATACAGTAATTGTAGGGGAATTTAAAACCCAATTATATCAATGGAGAGATCAGCCAAACTGTTTGGCTTAAGGAAGGAAATAGTGGCTTTGA